AATATATTTTNATTAATTAAATTAATATATATATATATATATATATATATATATATATAGAAAATTATAGTCAACTTATAGATTTTCCTGATAAAGTAGAATTAAGTAAATATTGAAAATTTTTTCACAATCAAGTTATAATGAATCTTATTTCTCGTTAAGAAAAAGGAAAATTTAAAAATTCTTGATAAGTCGTGATATAACATAATGATTGCTCAATTGAAAAGTAGAAAAATAATTGACTAAATTGCTTCAATAAATAAATAAAATGATTACGCTTCTAGCAATTTAAAATATAATTTCCAAGCCAGCGCACCCACGCGAATACCACAGTAATTCGCACTCTATCACTTCTCTATCAACTTTCAAATTCTCATCGAAGTTTATTAATAAATCTATTCGATATTATAATGTATCCTTCAAATTCCATTAATTATTTACTCTTTTGAATTGAATTCTATAAAAAAATATATATATAATAAAAAATAATTCTAGCAATCTAAACTCTGAAACTAATTTTCGTGATTTCATAATTTATTATATCAAGCTAATTCTAAAGATTCACTGAATATTCGAATAGTACTGATTACATATCACAGGCATATAGATTTATGGATGAATTTAGTTATTTGTCGAACAATGACATACACGTACACAAAACTTAGAAAAATATTCCAATATCCAATGTCAAATGTCAAATGGATAATGCTAGTTTAATCATCAATGTTTCTAAAGCTCAGTTTCTCTTGTTTTAATGAGTTATAAACTTTTAATGAAAAAAATTATATTCTATTAAATAATAACAAAATAAATGTATTTTTGACAAAATTCCATTGAAATCCTAATTTTGATATCAATTATGCAAATACAATAACAATATATTATTTTACAATTGATATAAACAGATTAATAACGATAAAAAACAATTATTTTATCATGATGAAATTATAAAACAAAATAAATTCGAACGATAAATTCATTTAGATTTCCTACGACAAGTGAAAATTCTATAACCTCAAGGTATTTAGTGAAATCCACGAAGAGCCTTCGAGTGTCTCGCCCACGCTCTCTTCCACTTCGAAGACGAGCGGAGGATAAAAGGAGAGAGGAACAATCGTGCCACGCGCTTCCATTCCGAATCTACGAATGTAAATCAGTTGGGTGAACTAGGGTGAACGACCTAATTACTGAACAATCGAAGAATTTTTTAAAAATTAAAAAAGAAACATGAAATAAATTAAATATTTTTAAGATAAAACTTAAATTTTCGATTATAAGATATTATAAGATATTTGTGAAATAGCTTTCGAGAATCAAAATAAGTGCAAAAATTCGTATATATAAAATTGTTGATTAAATCTTATTTATTAAGTTATAATAATAATTTAATTTTGTGCTAGAAAAAGTGAGATGTACGAAGTAAAATAGTTCTATCTTCGTCACGCTCTTATGCTTCATCTTGCTTCATCTCATAAAAATCTCAATTGCTTACACAACTTAATAAGTAAGTTTCGATATTTTAGTATATATCTTGTTATTTTTTTTTTTTTTTATTATATATATTCAGAATAATAATTAAATGTCCTGATATTTAGTCTTAAAGCTATGATAAAAACATGATAATAAAAAATCTAGCTATTTTCAAAATATAAAAAATATTTAGCATTTCGAAAATATTAATTTTTCCATTTTCAAAAAGTAGTTTCCATTTTTGTAGATTAGGAAACAATAGGTAATCAGAGACTATTATAATAAAATAAAAATATTGTATTATAGCATGAAAAGTGACAAATATTAAATTATAAAAAATTATTTTATTTATCTATGAAGAATTAGCGATAAATAACTAAAGTATAATATAATTAATTAATTATTGAAATGCACAATCATTTTTGTTATATATTTTGATTAATATCTCTTTCATTTTTTTCACAACTTATATAAAATAAATAATTGAATGTAAATATACTTTTATTGTACAAATCAAATTAAGCTGAACTATCTACACATATACTTAATTCCTCATTTGAGAAAAAATCTAATCAAACTTAACGCAAAGTTAAATCATCGATTCGAATAAATAGCTCGGTTACAATTTCTTCAAGGTCAATTGTTTGACCGGTTCGAATATAGAAAATGCAAATGATGAAAGTCGTGGAGCGGAACAACAGTCACTTGATTCTCACAATTAACCACCGCTCTGGTGTATACGATTTACGGGTAGGGAACGAGGAAACGCGGGAAAAATGATGTTTTCCACTACTGGGAAATATTTACGGCTCGAATCGATTAATTGCATCGACCTCGGTGACGGGTTGTTACGCGTGCTGGTTTTAACGTCGATGCTTGGGAATACTTGTTCTCGTAGTGGCATAATTGCGGATTTAAAGATTGACAGATTTTTAATTGCGTCATTACAATAGACGATAGTAAACAATTTTGTTAAATTTTGTTTTGGTAATCTGAGTGTCTTTGAATATCTTTTTAAGAAAATTGTTTAATGATTAGTGTATAATATATAGTGGATAAATAAAAGTACACATGAAAATAGTAAAAAGAATTTACATATAAGTTTACAAGCATATGTTTTATTTGATCTTGTTTTTGAATTATATGCTAGAATAATTCTGTTAAAAGTTGAATTAATTTTATTATTTATAAAACGAAGTCAGATATTTATTCTGTATACTGAATGTTCATTAATAATGTTGAAATATTCCGTGAAAATATTCATAAAATACAAATAATATCTGGAAAAATAGAGAAGGTGAAAAAATTAATCATAAAACGTTTTCAAACTTGTGTTTGGATGCATCATTTTGAAGATAAATAGACACACAGTTTTTTTTAAGATAAATATAGTATATTAAGGAATTTATAACTCGAAAACAAAATCAAATAACATCTATACGTTTATATAAATTTTTTTTTAACATTTCTATAGATAGATTTACAAATCCATAAAAAGAATTTCAATGCAACAGCACCATAAAGTATGAGATCGTGAAATTTATTTTAATATAACTTGATATAATTTAAATGATGATAAATAATTTTTTTTATTTTTAAATTATTTAATAATCTTGAATATTTTAGTGTTTTTTTTTATGAGATTTTTAATGATTTTTAAGGATTTATGAAATTTATATAATTTTTATTCTTAATTTATTTTTATTTTATGATTTTAGAATAAAGAAGAAGATTTTTTAGTATTAGTAAATTTTTAACTCTGTTTTAAAATATTTTGTTATAAATATTATAAATTATGAATTATAATTGTTTAATAATTTTTTATATTTAATAATCTAAATTTTTTTTTATATTTAATATGATTTTAAAATAGATATAATAAAGAAACTTTATGAGATTGCTATTAATGGGTATTTTGTTACAAAATATTGAACAAAAATTATTATAATTTTAGCAAACATAATATTAAATTATATCTATTTATAATAAAGAGAAAAATATTTGGCACATGTTAATGGTTCAAAGTATTTTAAAAAATTGTATAGTATCTATAAATTAAGATTTTTCATTATGTCGTTCATTATGTTTGAAAGTGTGTTATAACAAATTAATAATAATTTTTTGTGAAATATACCTTTTCTCCGACCCGCACTGCACGTGCGCTGAATGTGATGCCTCTGCAAAAACTTTCGTATCTTCTGGCAATAGTCCCGCCATTGCAGAGTCTGATGTTCTCACCATGAACTTGATGGAACGTCAGTGGTGGCAGATTGTTAGTGCCTGCACTGGATGATCTTGGTGCTGTAACAATCGAATAAACATGACATGTTAATTTAATAATTTCGAACAGTTTATTAAGACTTTTAAAATTTTTATGATAAATATAATGAATTTCATAAAACAATTTTAATTCTCTTTAAATTTCTTCAATATTGTAAATAAATGAAAAGAATATAAAAATATTATTTATGATATTTAATATAATAATATTAAATATTATTTTTTAATTATTAATTAAATGCAATCAGTGTTTTTAAATCTTACAATAATCGAAGAACTAAATTATACCATAAAATATATCAGTATCGTATAATTAACTTTAATAGAGAATCCAAAATCGAAAGATATATTTATCAAAGAAGACTCATAATCCTGCCAACAGAAAACTAAAAAGGAACCGCCAGCGATCGATCCACATATCATCTAATAATTACGAAATACGATTTGAGTCAAATTACATGATTTCTTAACGAAATTCCAAATAATTGATATATCGTTCTGAAAAACACTGGTTTTTAAAATGAACCTCAATTATTCTTAACTTCGATATAATTAATATATAACAAAAATTGATATATATTTGAAAACCAGATTTACGTAATAGCGAAACCGATTTTTAATTCCAATGTATTTCGATTAGAGCTTGGAATTTTCTTTCTATTTTATCAAACATCAAAAAAAGGTGAGTGAAAAAAAAAAGACCAAAATATAAACAAATTATTTGTTTTGTGATATATCAAGATATTCTATTCTAGTAGAGATGTGTGCATATAATATTGTTACATATTTGGCAGAATTTGAAAAAATACAAATGGAATTTGATGAGATTTCAATATTCTATATGTATTGTTCTATTATTCAATTTGAAATTCTGAAAGTATAAATATAAGCGGATGATATTTGAATGCGATCGATTTGAATTTCAAGATTCAATTATTATAATATGATGTATGTTATAATAAGAGTAAATTAACTAAATAATATTGATTGATTTATATATTGTATTTTTTTTCTAAAGTTTCAAATTCTTATCTGATAATAAAGTTTATATTATTCAATATGATACAGTTTTACATATATTTGTATTACTAGTTACAAGTGTTTATATTACACATGTAAACAATTTTCTATGATGCACGGAAAACGTGTATAAATTGTGTTGACTGCGCGGTATCTAGTATAAACAGACCCTAAATCTGTTTATGTATATCTATGTCAAAACTAGTTTTAATATCCGATACATGTTTATTTTATATTTGATTTTATGATCTGTTTACTTGTACGATTTATAGTATAAGAGAAGATAGAATAGAAATGCTATAATAGAAGCAAGTTTCCGAGATTATCAAAATCTAGCTCGATGCCATCCGAATTTTTCCGATCCTTCCCGAAGTTTTCGAGACTTGAGCAAGCGTATTTCCAATCTAGTGAAGTAGCAGTTACTTACGTAAATCGTTCTGTGTAAATCGTGCGCAGTTATCCTTTAACTTTTACTGTGTTTCTTTCCAGAAATTCTATTATTGTAATTAAGAGATAATACGTAACAAGAGAAAAGTTTTATAGTAACCGGAAAATTCTTTCAAAGCAATTGCTCTGTATGAAACAAAAGCAGCCAAGGAGAGAGAAAGGAAAGTATGGATACTATGTAACAGACAGAGACCAAGCATAGATGGAATTTGATCGAGAAACTGAAATGCAAAACCACCTCTCGTGGCAGCTCGAGCGTTTCCACTTCGGTATTTCATAACTCCGACTCGCCGATCCGGAATGCAGGAGTTCTGACAGGATATTCCCAGGCTACGTCCAGGATGTTCCCAGAGTGGAAATGTAGCCATTTCAATAGTCCATGTGAGATTCGAAATCGATCAATCTTATTCAAAGTATAGAATAGTTTTTATTTTTTTACTAATAAGTAAGTTTTATATTTTAATATATATTTTTTATAAATATTGATTTTAGATATAGTGTTTTCTTAGGTGGTGATCAATAGAAAATTTTTTAACAATATATAGATATGTATTTGAAAAGATTAGATTTTTGTAAATTTTTGTGATTTTATAAAAATAACAATATATTTGATATATTTAGCTTTGATAAGATTTTTGTTAAATTAATTTGATAAATTAAATTTTAAAAATAATTTGTTGTAGCAGCAATGGAAGTGGATCAAAATATATATAATACAATCCAGAATATAATATATATTTAATCTTATTATAATGTACTTAACTTTTTAAAATAATTTAATAATTATTAAAAATAGTTTAATTAAAATAAAAATAATTAAATGGATTCGAAATAGTCTGAATTCAATGGCTGAGTATTAATAATATAAGTATTTGATACTGAAATTAATTTTTGTAAGTAATTTTTTATCTTAAATAATAAAAATGAGCAAATTCAAAGTAATGATTATTATTTTTGGCTTGTACAGATTTGTGATTCAATATTATTCAATGTTTAGTATATTATATGAAATATAATTAATTATTTTTAGTCCAATTAATTATTTTTTACTCCAATTAAAGTAGACAAGACAAACATAAAAGGAAGTTGATAATTTTTATCATATTCTGTGTGTAACATTTAAGATAATGTTTTATCTATTTCGTTCAGGATACAACTAATTATAATTCAACAATCGAATCGGACAACATAATTAAACGATAACATAATAATAAAGTTCATTTAATACTATAAAAATATGACACAATTACTTTTCAATATAATAAAATCATCAAAATTATTTCTCTTAAATATAAAATGTATAAATAAATAACAATCTAAACTACTCTAAATTTTTCAAATACAAAAATATATGTACACAAAAATTTATATATTCTTTTTTTTTTTAATTTATATTGAAAATATTTACAAACGAGCAATGATTTTTCACTCATTGATTGATTATTGATCGACAAATATAATATTATTTAATATTATTTCACGAATGAATAAATAAAAAAAAAAAATAAATAAATCACAAAATCCTTATTATCAAAATTAAAATAATCCTTACGATTTAAAAAGTATTATAAAATTATTAAAAATCACTAAATTCTTATCACAAAAATTCTCACAAAAAACCAATCTCTCTACATAAATATAATCAAAAGTATATAGTTAATCACACAATTTTAGAAATAAAACAAGAAAAAGTAGATCAACCAACAAAGGATTTTAACAGACGAAAAAAAATAAAAAATAAAAAATCTGGGAACTAATGTGGACCACAACCGTCACGAACGGCAGCCCAGTTCCGACTGAGTATCGATATGCGCACGAAGGCGGTGTGTATCGCCTTCATCGTACGTGCGCCACGCACCGGAAACCGCACGCTACTCGAGCGGAAGCAGCCGCGGCGTAAGGAGTATCGGTCGATACGCTTTCTCCGGGAACGGATGCACGCCGAAAAGCGCCGTTAACAATGACAGGAAGCGTGCGCCACTCCTCGACTTTTGCGGGCTTCCGCCGTGTCCTTATGTTCTACTGCTCTTGTGCAAATTTTTTTCACTGTAATTCTGTAATAATGTGTTTTGTGGTTACCATTTGTTTCGATTAGATATGATACTGATCATCAACGAAAGGAAAATATGGTGATAATGTTTGCGTTTTAAATTATTGGAATTTTTAAATTACTTCAAATTCGAATGTTTTCGATTTTGCTGCATTTAATATAAATTAAATTTTGCACGATTTTATTATTGTTAGAATTATAATAAAATGTTTATACTAATGTATAAAATATTTATTATAGTTTTAAACAATAATAAAATTATAAATATTTATACTATATAATATTATACATTATTATAAGAATTTATGTATAATTTTTATAAAATTTATTTTTTAAATAAATAAAATTCAATAATATACAATATAGATAATATAATTTAATGACATTTTCATTAATTCACGTGCTATCTTTATTCTTAAAATCTCAAATTATTTTTTACATATTAATTTTTTTTCATTCATTGATATGTATAACAATTTTTACCAAAACGATCCTTTATGAATATTACTCGAATTTGGATAAAAATTTTTTTCTTTTTGAAAGAAATATCATATTCACTGTTTAAAATAACCAATATAGAATTTATAATATATAATGTAGAATTTCAAATCTTCAACATTGAAAACGAATCAAAATTATTCATATTCCATTTTTCTATATACATCATACATTTAGCTAATTCATGATTTTATCAGCCACCAGAGATAGCATAAAAATTCCATAGAAAACCTTAAAAAAAACTTGATTGCCACAATTAATTAGAGCCGCGATTAATTCGCTAACGAATCGAAACCGCGGTTCCAATTTCTCGATCAATCGAAGCAGTCACGATTCATTGATCACCAGGCAAAAATAACAACGCGAACAGATGCCGGTTTCTCACGCTCTTACCAAGAAGACTAATATAGAACCAGTCGAATGATTTTAATTTCTAATTCGTTTGTCATTCTGGCGCGAACAACAAAGTTTTTGTATTTCTTTTCAGGTACCGTTACAAACCACTTTTCCAGGATTCAAAGAGAATCCACGATCGATAATCGTTTTGGACGATCGCGTGCAACCCTTCGAACGATTGTTCCGCTTTTTCTTCCTTATTTTTCAATACAGAGTCGAGGAATTGCGTTTTCGTGAGGTAAAATTGTTTTGGTGGGAAAGATTTTTATTGAGAGAATTTATTTTAATTTATTTTGTTTGTTTCATTCTTTTATTTCGTGTTTGTTGGTTTTCACGAGAGAGATACTAGATAGAAGGAATGCCGTTTCGTTGAAACAGTTTGGTAAAGTTTCGAAAGCAAGATTGAGAGTGGATTGCTGGCTAATTGAGCGTTTCGATATCTGAGGATGCAGTTATTGGTAATTGGTTGCAATTTGAAAACTTGAAGCGTCAAGGCTTTCGACCGATGTTGAAGAATTATAGTGTAGTGTATATATATTTTGGGAAAATTTTGGTTTCTTGAATTATTTTTATATGATTTAGAATTTATGAATTCTGTGTAATTAAAAGT